ATTCCTATGTCTTATTGATCAGTTTTGGAGCTTTTAAATATGCAGAAAAATTTTTGATTCCAAAATATGAATACAGTCTTCCGCCAACGCTATTACCTTGCTAACTCTGAATAAAGCAGTCTCCCGCGTGGCGCAGTGGTAGAGCGTCTGCTCTAGAGTCGGGGATTAAGGAGTTAATCCTTACGTTGCGGGTTCGAATCCCACTGTGAGACCGGTCCTTCGGATGAGACCGTATAAACCGAGGTCCCGTGTGGACCTGGCACGAAAAAGTGGATGCTGGCACGAAAAAGATCCCTCACTGCTCAATGGCCCCGAGTGCCGAGCATAGGTCAAAATTTGCAGCTCTCCACCGGCAAGTGGTGGCGACTCCATATGAGTGAAAAATTCTCGAGAGGGCCATTAAACAACAAGTAAACAAAAACTAAACAAAGCAAAAAATGCTAGTACAAAGGCTGACTTTAGCAATTTGGATTCATACGAAGAAAATGTGGCAACATAAGCCGTGTACTTTGTAACAGCTGAAGTGTTATGTAGGTCTTCTGATATCAGTTACTACTTCGATCTTTTGTATCCCGCCAACAATTTCCTAACTAAAAGGAATATATATCGGAATAAACCCTCTGTTTACATTTATTGCAAAACATATACCTGTACCTGCCAAGTAAGATTTCACAATAGAAAATGAACAGCTGTTTTCAGACATGTATGCAATGAAATTAATAATATGATCTAGAGGGGCGGCCATACTTGCTCAAATAATGTCTGTGACCAGAAATTGGAAAACGCTTGCAAGCCCTGCTTATAAACTTTGCTTGTATTTACTGAAAGGCTAGCATATCAAGAAGGGAATCTACAGTTGCCTGATAATGTCCCAAAATTGTGTAGGAACTTGACCAGGATATTGTTGTGCCCCAGATGCTAGCTGACAAAACCGCCAACCCTGCAAAAGGTAAATTGTATCTGCCTCATAGCCGTAGGAACCGAGGGGGGGGGGCGGTGGACGTGCCCTCCATAATTTTCCGATATATAGAATACTATAGAAAACTTAGCTACTATTTGCTTGTGCCCCCTCAATAATATCTGATGACCTTTTTTTTGCTTGTCAAGGAAATTTTGAATTTGTGGTAGTGCCCCCAATTGAAAATGTTGGGTTGTCCCCCCACCCATACCCCCTGACATTGCTTCCTACGGACCTGTTCCTTACTATTTATGTTGACAATTGAACAGGAATATGGCGATGCAGTGTGTATAATACTAATGCCCTCAACAAAATCACATCTTTTTTATGTCTTATGAACAAGCGACATGTTATCTACATGAAGCAAAAGTTATCGAGAGCCCAGCTCTTCCCCCAAAATATAGATACCAAATAATATTGGTATAAATTCTACCAAAAGCAATGCCTTCCTTATCTCCGACGACCAATTCTCTTGCTAACCCAAGAAACTCCATTTATCCCGATATAATATCCCACAGTCATGAGCCCTAGAACTATCTGTGTAAAACATCCAGCCAACTGGACGATAGAAAGGAAGAAAAACCATTATATTTAGTCAGGAACTCTACCCATATTTCAAGATCGTCTCTAATGAGATGAAAAGACTTGCGTACACCTACCAGTGCCCCATACATCCTACGACAAACTACCCTGTCAGCAGAAAGGGCTTTCTCTACAAAGGCCGGTGAACCTAAAAGTCATTTCATTTTCTTTTTTGTTACTTTCTCCTTCTCCTAATACAAACTCAGTTTTCTCTAACAATTTAGATGCTTTTTTCTGTGGAACGAAATCTGTTCTAGATAATGAATCAATATCAAATCCTAAAAATGACAACCTAGTACAAGGTCCTTCTGTTTTTCGATAGCCAATGAACAAAAATCATCCTAATGATGCAAAATACCATCTAGTCTTGACCTTTGTTCCAATTATCAGCGTAGAAAAGTTTTTTTTTTAAATAACGAAAATGAGACAGATCAGGAAGACACTTGTCAGTGTAATAAGAATCTTGAAACTTTAAACCTAGAAAACAAAAATCTTGTGGAGCAATGGAAAAAAGCCTAAATGCACTAGAAATATCCATTTTTCCATAAGGGCTCCCTGACCTTTCTGCTGAAGAATATTTAAAGCTTTCTCAAATGATGCATATTTACATGTAACTGACCAATCTCGCTGATCAATGTAATCATTGACACTTTCGCCAAGTGAATATGATAAATTAGTTATCATGTGCCACCCTCCCCGTTTCTTTGGTAATAACCCTACACGATTACAACGTAAATTTGTGATTGGTTAGAAGGAAAAGGACCTAATCAAACAACTTAAAGAATTTCTTTCTCTATTTTCTCTGCACTCTGATCTGAAGCAGACTTCATATTCTTGTATTATACATTTTTTCTACATCCTTGGTATTGTAATGAAAATCCTTTTCTAAAACAATTAACTAATAAATGTGATAAAAGATGAAGGAGTGCATGAGGAGGTTGTTAACTTTTACAAGTGTATTATCCAGGTCCCATTATCTATTGAATAAATTACATGAATCTCTGAAAAAGAATCTGGGAATATAGGCCTGTTGTGGGCTTTTTGGGCAGGGAGATTAGGTTGGGTTCTGACAGTGCTGTGGCCAAAACTACAATTCATTGAAGGAGGAGCCCCATAACATTGTACGTAAAGGTATAAATACTTGCAATGAGGTTTTTTTTTTTTTTACAAATACATTGAAAATTGTATGAATGGCATTTAAACTATTTTTTGTAGGTTGACATTTGATTAACTGGCTGTATAATTGTAGGGATATCGAACGTCCGAGTATCGAATACTAAAAATGGTACTCGGTTACTCGGATGTGTATTTTTTCTTATTTCAAAGTACATATTTTTATCAAAAACATATCAAAAGATAACTTAAATATGTATACGGTAATTAGCTTGTCGTCATCTACACCTGTAAAACACCCGTTATCGCCTGTGGCTGTGTATATACAGTACTTAGTGACCAATCACCTGGTACACAACTGTTCGCACCTGTCGTGGTCCTTAATTTTTGGATGGCTTCAATGATTGTTTTCAGTGAACATCGTTTAAGTATGTCCATTATCTTGAAAACATTTTTTTAATTATTTAGTAAATATACGGCAGCGAAATCGGACATGCATAGAAATGGCGCTACCCACTTCAATAGTGAAGAAAAGTTAAGAAATAACTAAGGATTCAAATAATGTTGAAAGTCAGTTTGCGTAGAAAGTTTAGTGTATACGATGGAAACAACCAACAAATGAAATAATATTGGACTAGCGATCCCAACAACGTTCGTTCCTTCTCTTTAGTTTAATCATCACAAACCTGCGTAACAGCTTGTCCTCCTTTTGTATTGATGAAATAGATCCGAAACAAGAACTGTAAACCATTTGTAATTATTGATGTATTATTTGTGTCTTTTGTGTTTATTTTAAATAAATTTTGTACCAAAAAATCAATTCTGTTGGACTTGATGTTTAAATACATTTATAACTTGATAAAAACAGCTTTGAGATTTAACAGAGCTTAACGGGGCTCAACAAAATTAACATACCTGTATTTACATTTTTACCGAATACCCGGGTACTCGATCGGAAAAACGTCCGAGTAACCGATTATCATAAATTGACCGATTTGACATCTCTATAAAAAGACACACTTTTGCATTCACAGAACCCTAATTCAAGGAAGACTCAATAGTCTTTTTAAGTCAGTCGCCCGCGTGGCGCAGTGGTTAGAGCGTCTGCTCTAGAGTCGCGAAGTAAGGAGTTGATCCTTACGTCGCGGGTTCGAATCCCACTGTGGGACGTGGAGACCGGTCCTTCGGATGAGACCGTATAAACCGAGGTCCCGTGTCGCAGTAGGTGCTGGCACGAAAAAGATCCCTCACTGCTCAATGGCCGTAAGTGCCGAGTATAGGACAAAATTTGCAGCTCTCCACCGGCAAATGGTGGCGTCTCCATATGAGTGAAAAATTCTCGAAAGGGACGTTAAACAACATACAATCAATCAATCAATCTTTTTAAGTCTAAATTTAACATAATTTTCCCTCCAACCTTAGGTGACTCTCTGATGCTTTTCTGATGGCGGCAATGTAATGAAACAAACCCATAACATTTGCTGGGTGTTTGATGCAATAAACTGATGCAAATATCGAAATTGCTTCCTTCCACTGTGAAATATTTTATTTTTTTTCCTTATGTTTGGGTTCGATTTGAAATGAGCCCTCCTGAAATACGACCTGATGTTAAACCTCTGAAGCTGGTTCTTTAATGAACAATTTACTCCATTAACATTAATATTCTATATCATATCTTTTAAATTTTCATTAACATGAGCCTAGGGATGGGTATCGCCAAAAAATTTCGTATCGTGATATATCACGATTTTTTCCAAAAATATCGCGATAAAATCGGGATATTTTTATCAGGAATTTTTACTTCATTATCAAATGAATTTCCATAATTTTTCTTACAAATACACTGCAAAAATATAACTTTACTTTTTTCCATTTTTATCTTATGTAATATAAAGCATGTTTGGATGCCGTAGTTTAACTTTTTTCAACATTTTTTATACTTTCTGTAATTTCTATTTAATAGTTTGAACAAATAAACATGATAAATTAGTAAGTTCTGGAATTAATAATTATGTACCAAATACCGGTATTTTAGTCTCCGTATCACGATACGTATCACGCAGTAAAAAAATCACGATATACCGGTATACCGATAACCCCTACATGAGCCCCTAATGGAGAAACAACACTATGGAAATCATAGACCTTTAGTTGCCATAATTGCTTGTACCTGTTAGAAATGATTGGCTTGTTGACTGCTGGGAATGTTTCAAGATTTGAAGGGGAGGGGTGCTATATACTCCTGACCGTAGAAATATGGATTTGAAACAAAGACAGATACCTTTTCTTCACCTTTTTATTACAGTCGACATTTTGCAAATTCTATGGTCCATGTAAGAACCTTGATAACAAAAACTGTAGTGGGGTTCGTTTATAATATGATAGTGAACACAAACAATATGTTGTCTTGTTGATAAATATTTTCAATATCAGTATTATCACAGCTCTGAAATATATATAAACAATCATAAGTATATTTAATAACAATACATACATGTAGATCACCTGCCATATTGCACGGTCAAATCAAGAGTTATTTCCCTTTAACTGTGCTCCATAGATGAAACATTTAGAGTTATCTTTCTCAATCAATGATTATGTGCAAATCATAAAAAAAATCTGGAATATATGATTATATGCTGAACTCTTCCATAATAATATTTAAAGACAATATTTAAGATATAGATATGTCATACCTGTATGTGTTTTAGATCCATAACTCCAAATATATACAAAACATGTGAAGTTGATTGAACTCTACTCACTGATCTGTATATGAATAATACATAACCATAATACATAACTTTACTGTATTGCACTTTACACTCATTCTCACAAATATAAAATATACTGATATATGAAAATCATTACTTAGAATATTTACATAGTCATAAAATAATCACACAGAGCGAACTTTCATACTTTATATTAAAATATTAACATTGGGAATTATGCAGATAAACAAATATTAAGAGATAATAAAATTAGTAAAAGTAAGCTTACATTCAGTCCTGTCTTGGTCAAACCATATAATTTAGTCAATATGAAAAAAAGAAATGCCAAGATGTCTGCTTCTGACGAGACCAAAATCTCAAACAATAGTGACAAATTAGTTAAAACTAAAGAGAGGGAAATCTGACAATCAATGAAATCCAAGTTGTCCCTGACATCACACAAGATATAAATAGTCAGGACAGGGGTTTAATGAGCACTGTGATGTCATAAATCTATAAATAACTCAAGAAACACAGATTAATGTAAATAACTCCATGTGGATTTATTCATGAAATAAAATGCTTTAAAGAAATAATGACGATCATTTAACTGAATTAATTAAATCTCAAAATACATGAATAATGATTTTAAGTATATGAATGAGATATTATGGAGATAACGAACAGTATTCAAATTCAAAGTCCATTAAAACAATACAAATTGGGAGCAGAGCAAACACGGACCTCCAAAAACATCAGACGTGGGATCAGGTGCCATGGAGGAGTGAGCATCCCCTGTCGACCGGTCACCGCTGTTTGCTCCTTGACATGATCGGTAAATAACGGATAAATCCGTCGACAATTCAGTGTGTAAACAATGGCCTAACAATAAGTATGAAAAATGTCAGTCAGCGTATGACTTAATGATAGATTATATTTGTTGACAAGGTCATTGTATCGACCATAGAACTTACGAATTGATGACTTTAAACGAGACTGTTGATATTCTTGTTTCATCAACTTGTTTATCATTAAATTACCTCGTTCTACATATTGTTCATACGTAGATCATGCTCTTGCCTATCGAATGAACTGAGATATAAAGCCCATATGCGGGTGATAAGGGTATATTGCTGCATAAGTAACGAAAGTTGACGATCAAAAAGTTAAAGTCATCACGTTTATCATTAAGCTTTGTTGTTAGATTGTTGTTAGATTACAATTAAAGTCTTTTTCTAGTAAAATATCCAAATATGAAACAGATGTGTCAGACTCTGTGGTATCTTTTATTTCAAGTTCACTGGGATATAACGTGTCGACATATGAATGGAAATCACTATTGTTAATTGATAATGCGTCGTCGATATATCTAAATGTCGAGTTGAAGGCCAAAGCAAGAGATCTGTTCTTTTCATGTATAAGATTCTAAATAAATTCTGCTTCATATGAATACAAGAATAGGTCTGCTAACAACAGGGCGCAATTGGTACCCATAGGAATTCCAACAGACTGTTGGAAGAGCCACAAAGATATTGTCAATCAGAAAGTCAAGCATCTTTTTAATATCAACTTCAGAGTACTTATGTGTACAATCAGACTGTTTTTTAACAAAATAATTTTGCAAATGACCAATGACAAGGTAAGTAAATTTACGACTTCCATTTTTAGGTCACCTGAGTCACTAACGTGAACTATTGCTATTCGTTTTTGTCTGTCGTCGTGCGACGTCCATCGTGCGTTAACTTTTGAACATTTTTAGCTTCTTCTCCGGCGGCACCAAAACCAAATTAAACCAATTTTGGTATATAGAATTTATGATTGAAGGGGAACAAAAATTGTGAATTTCATGGTCCCTGCCCCCCGCGGTCCTGAGAGGTGCGGCTAAAACCACCAAAATTAATGCAATCTTTAAAAATCTTCTACTTTAGTCCTGGACTTCAAGCAGTCAAACTGTTGGCATGATTGTGATAAGAATTGAGTCCTCTATAAAAAGAATTTCATGGCCCGAGTGTCAGGGGTTCTGGTGTTAGGACGGGGTTTTATTAATTATATATTGAAAGTACGTTCTTTCTTTGAAAATCATCTTCTCTGTATAAAACAAAGTAATTTAACTAAGTACATAATTATGATAAGCAAGATGACCTCTTCCAAAATAGTGAATTTCATGGCCCCTGGGTCAGGGGTTCTGGTGTTAGGGCGGGGCTCTATTGATTATATAGTGAAAGTGCATTCTTTCTTTTTCTCTGCTCCTGAGTATTAAACAAACAAACTTAGTACATAGTTATAATGTGCAAGAAAGCCTCTTCTAAAATTGTGAATTTCATGACTCCTTGGCTAGGGGTTCTGGTGTTAGGGCGGGGCTCTATTGATAATATATAGTGAAAATGAATTTTTTGAAAATCTTCCTTTCTGATCCCGGATATCAAACAAACAAATTAAGTACATAGTTATGATGAGCATGACCGCCTCTTCCAAAAAATTGTGTATTTAATGCCCCCTGGGTCAGGGGTTTGGTTTTAGGGCGGGGTTCTAATGAGGATATGGGTAATGAAAATGCATTTTTTTTTTTCAAAATCTTCTTCTCTGCTCCTGGGTATTAAACAAAGTAACTAAGTACTTAGTTATGATGAGCAAGGATGCCTCTTCCAAAATTGTTAATTTCATTTCTCCTGGGTCAGAGGTTCTAATGTTAGGGCGGGGCTCTATTGATAATATAGGGAAAATGAATTAATTTTTTGAAAAGCTTCCCTGCTCCTGGGTATAAACAAACAAAGTACATAGTTATGTTGAGCAAGACTGCCCCTTCCAAAATTGTGAATTTCATGGCCCCTGGGCCATAGGTTCTGGTGTTAGGGCGTGGCTCTTGAGAATATATAGTGAAATGCATTGGTTCTTTGAAAATCTTCTTCTCTGCTCCTGGGTATTAAACAAAAGTAACTAAGTACATAGTTATGATAAGCAAGGATGTCTCTTCCAAAATTGTTAATTTCATTCCCCTAGGTCAGGTGTTCTGGTGTTAGGACAGGGCTCTATTGATTATATAGTGAAAATGTATTAATTCTTTGAAAATCCTCTCCTTCGCTCCCGGGTATTATTTAAACAAACTAAGTACATGGTTATGATAATAAAGGTTGCCTTTCTAAAATTTTTAAATTAACGGCCCCAAAATCGAGGGTTCTTGTGAAATTGGGGGCTCGATCTATTGACTATGATGTGAAAAATCATATTTTTTAAAGTATCCTCTTCAGCTCCTTGTTATGAAGCAAAGAAACTAAGTATATAGTTATGATGAGCAAGAATGTTTCTTCCAGAATTGTGAGTTTTGTGGCCCGTTGGTCAGATGTTCTGGTGTAAGGGTAGGGTTGTATTAATAATATAGTGAAAAAGCATTAATTCCTTTAAATGATCCTGTCTGCTCAATAATGTTGAGCAGATAAACAAGGTGCATAGTTCTGATGAACGAGGTTGCTCCTTACATAATTTTAAAACTTGGGGACCGACGAGGGTCAGGGGTTCTGATGTTTCTCGGGGAGGGGGATTCTATTAATAATTGATATATGTAGTGAAAATGTGATAATTCTTTGAAAATCTTCAACTAAGTGCATAGTTATGATGATGAGGGCACCTCTTCCAAATTTGTGATTTGTGAATTTCATGACCCTGGGTCATGGGTTCTGGTATTAGGGTAGGGTTATGTTGAATTTATAGTAAAAATGCATTGTTTCTGTGAAATTCTTCTCTGCCTCTTGGCATATCGGAGGCAAACGGAGTGAAAGTTTTAATAGGCATGGGTATTTTTACCAGATTTTTTAACATCTGGACCATTTGGTCAAGTGTTCTGGTCCTGGACAGGGCTCAATTAATTATTTATTCTACTGAGAGAAGTTATTCCCCTTTGACAGTCACTTTTGATAATTAATCGGAGTAAAAAAGTATTTGAAAGGTTAATAGAACAAGAAAATTACGCAATTTTTTTTTTGTATAAGGCCATTTTTAAAAATTTGGTTGGTTGCCCTCTCCAGACCGAATGGCTAAAAATGGCCTGATTCAAAACTTTTTTTAAAACCTCCAGCAAGCAATTATTTTTTTAATGCATTCCAGAAAATAAATTTTGAAAATTCAGCATTGATATTGATATTTTCTGAGAAAAAGAATTTTCCTCCTTCCTACCGACCCAATTTTTTTCATCTTGAATCGGAAGAGGGCAAACAAACATTATTTAAAAGTTGGCCTAATACAAAAAGTACTTTCAAAGTTTTTAATGATCAAGTAGACTTGTACTTAATAGATAAATAAAAATGAGATAAAAATAACTTATCTTATTAAATGTTTTTCAAAGACCAAGGGAGGCCAGTGTGAAAGGTTATAATATAGGGTTAAAAATAGTACAAAAGTACAAATAGTTTGTTATTTTCTGCATGCTGATAGTGATAAAGGGGGAATTAAAACTTAATTGATGAGTTGTTACTGAATACAAGATTAATTATTTTGTTGATACTGATTATCATGTTTCTCTTGCTTTTGGGCAACAAAGCTTCATCTCTCAGATTATTTTATACTCTATGGATCCTCTAAAAGTAGGTCCTTGGGCCTCTTGTTATTGAAAAAAAAACAGCTGTCAATGATGTCAAAAAGCCTGGACTTTAATTTAATATGGGGAATTGTTGTATACAGAGTTGAAAAGATTTTATGCTATTGATTTGGATAAAGTTTTGTGATTTCAGATTTTCTAAAAGTTGTTTGGAATTTTAAGTATCCATGTATAATTTACACCACTTCTCGAATATTTTGTTGCACAGTACTCCTGAAGTTTCTCCTTCACTGCTGTAAATATTTAAGTGAGGAGTAATGAAAGAGACTTACATTAGTAGAACATTTTTCCGTTGCCCGATCACGACAATGAGCCCATGGCGGGTTGAACAGCCGATAGGGGATGCTTATTCCTCCATGACACCTGATCCCACCTCTGATTTTTTAGAGGCCCGTATTTCCTCTGCTCCCAATATGTATTATTTCAAAGGACCTTTGAGCTTGAGTACTGTTCGTTATCTTTACATTTCATCTAAAGATACACAGAATGGTTAAAATAAGAGGACCATTTAATTGATTCCCAATGTGATGCAATATGTAATTTTCAAATTGTAATCAATAACAAAAAAAAAACAACAACACACAAACCGGGATAGGAGCATATTTAATTCAAACTGACAGAACCTGCATTGATAAAAACATTACATGTATCTAGATAAGTTATAAACTTATTGATTCATAAGTTAAACATCTTTATACGATATGAATACGAGGGTTGTCAAAAAAGTTGGAGGCATTCACTTTTTTGAATATTGAGATAACCTTTTACCTTTCTCTATCAACAAGCGTACTTTAGAAGTAATTTATATCTTTCAGATTATTAACGCACATGTTTAAAAAAATAGGAAAGAGTCTATCATATCAAGAAATAATAGAAAACCTGCATGCAACAGATAACATATCGTCTAAAATTATTATATCATGTGTCAGGACGTTATTGAGAAGAGAATACTTAATATCACATCATGCTTTCGCCTATAAATCAGAGAGAGAGAGAGAGAGAGAGAGAGAGAGAGAGAGTTTATTCATATGAAAGAGAAATATTTTTCTTATCATTCACTTCTGTATATTCTGTTATAACAACTTTTCCTGGCGAGTAGAGTCAAAGAGGTTAAGCGAAAAGAAGATTGCTTAATATATTGATATGTCATTTTTTATTCCCTTTAAACATGTGCTGCTTTCAAATGACGTCAATTAATTTGATTTTGAATTTTTTTTATGAATTCCGATTTTACAATTTTTTAACCCTTCCTCGAGATTAAAAGCCAAATGTATCTGTTTAAAAAATACATACAACGTAATAAAAAATTACATTTTTTCTTAGAACTGATTAATATTCAATATCTTCTTGCATGTCCCTCTCTCTCTCTCTCTCTCTCTATATATATATATATATAAGCCTGGAAAGCATACAATTGCTGATGTACATGTCCTAAGATAATTTCCGCACAAAAGGGGAAACAGACTTCAATTTGAAAATATAGCTTCCATTTGCTAAAATATGTAACATATGCGTATCAATGTATGGGTTAGAAGCAATTTTTGACTGTCGAAATCAAAGCACCATATTATAAAATTTGTAAATTGATTAGAGAATTTTTGTAAATGGTACCTTGATTTACATCCAACAGGGTGCAAAAAAATATCAAAGGTAGGAAATTCTTGTGAAAGTTGAAAATCTTCTCTTAAGTGGATTGTTCTAAAATCGATTTTTTTCTTTCGTTAATTCAGTGGTAGGCTACATGAAAGAAGGACTAGATTACATAATACAGAATTATAGTGTTTTCTTTCTTTTTATCTCTTTATCCAGTCATATGGATTGAAATAATTTAACAGGTAACGAATTAATGATGACCAAAATAATAACTGTACAGTATTTATATATGCTAGTATGTATGGGTAAGCATTCACTGTGCCTTACTTTTTATCAACCACGTCATTAACTTTGAACAGAAATACAGTACAATAGCAGTCGTTAGTTACCAATGATGAGTTCATTCAACTTGGAATGGGTCCAGCAGATTCCATGTAAAAAAAAATACCTTGATATTCTGTAGATTTGTTTCTATTAAATCCTACCAAATTTTAGTATGAAGGAAAATCAAGACATTCAAGGAACAATTCTCAATAACACAAATATGTGATACTTAAGTCAAAATCGCAAATCAGAGGGATAAAAAGGCTTACTTTAGCAATGAGATTCAGTAGAAAAGAAAAAGAATTAAAAAAAAAACATTTCTGTGAAAGAAATACAATTATTAATAGTAATATAAACTTTAAAAAACGTCGTCAATGCTTATATTGTGTAAATAAGTTAAATCTATGCCATTGCAGACTTGTATTTTGGTATCTATATATCTCCAAGTAAGAGAGGAATATTTTCTTGATATAATTGAGTTAATGGGTAATCTTTCTTATCCTTCACCTTTGCTGATAATGTGTTATCATATTGACTAGGATCAGAACGGTTATGATCCCTAATATTCTTATTACGTATTTATGAAGTTCAAACACGTGAACCCTTCAAATACCGTAATTCTTTTCAATATTGATAAATTTTAGATTGGTTTGAATTAATAGTATGAATTTTTTCTTCGCTTTTTCAGTAATCTCACAAAACAGATCAAAGACGCATTTAAGAGGATATATCTGACAAAAGGATAAACAATTAAGTTCTGTTCGATTTAATTTGGCATAGTTATGTTTTTAGAATTAATCTTCTACAAATATATACTTAGTAATTTTTTTAATAAGGGTAGTCTGTAAAATTATAGGTTTTGATACCCAAATTAAATTATCAATATACTTAAATATGGGTATTAATAAGATTTTAGCTATAATCCATCCATTGTCAGTATAAACAAAGACAAAGTAAAAAAATGATATGGAAAAACAAAACAAAACGAAAAAAGGGAAACTCGTACAAAAGAAAAACGAAAGGAAAAAAAAAAACTTTATGAGTATACAATGGTAGATGTGTTTTCAAACATTCTTTGTTAGAGCTCAGAATATGAGGACTTTTTTTCTCAAAAATGCTACAGTATTGATCAACATCTTTCACACAAATTGTGAGACCATTATTTTCATCAAAACATCAGAGGTGGGATCAAATGCCGTGGGGGAATTGATTGATTGTATGTTGTTTTACGTCCCATTCGAGATTTTTTCACTCTTACATAGACGCCACCATATATCAATGAAGGGCTTCAAATTTAGACCTTTACTCGGCACTGAGGGCCATTGAGCAGTGAGGGTTCTTTATCGTGCCAACGCCTACCGTGAAATGGGGCATCGGCTTTTAAGGTCTCATCCGAAGGACCGGCATTTTTCACTTCAAAGTACCGAGCGCTTGGAGAAGGAACAGTTGGTATACCTATTTTTTAATCGAGGTCAGTAGCGGCCGTGATTCGAACACACGATATTCAGATCACGGATCGAGCACTCTACCGCCAGGGAGGAGTAAGCATCCCTGTTGTCCAGTCCCACCTTCCGTGTGCTCCTTGTCTTGATCGGGCAAACGGAAAAATCCGTATAGACAAATCAGTGTTTTAAAGCAATATGAGCTGCAACTTTGATGTCGGAAATTTGTTGCAATATTGTAATTAAAACTATTTCAATGACAGAAAAAAAACTTTTATGAACTTCTGTTGTTTATATTTGCGATGGAAGAACTATTTATAAGCTTTGATTGAAACAAAATTACACTATTGTCATCCTGTACAATATTCATTTCTGATATAAATCTATACATTTCATTGTACAGAAACCTTTCTTCTGAAAAAAAAATTAATACTTGATTTCAGTCTAATTGATCATAAAGGTTTAGATTACATACAGATTTATCATTATACATATTTTAACAGCAAAATAAAATTATCAAAAATGCAGCTCATATTGCTTTAATAGTATCTTAACACTTAGTATGAAAAACGTCAGTCAGCACTCGACTTAACGATAGATTGTATTTGCTGACAAGGTCATTGTGTCGACCATAGAAACTTGCGAAATGTTGAATTTAAACGAGACTATTGATATTCTTGTTTCATCAACTTATTTGTCAATAGATTGTTTTGTTTTAGAAATTATTCGTAGGTAGAACATGCTTTTGAATCAAATGGGAGATATAAACCCCATGTGCAGGTCATAAGAGTATAATACTACATAAATAAGGATATTATTTATTTTATGTATTAAATTCTGCTTCATATGAACACAAAAATAGGTCTGCTAATACGGGGCGCAATTAGTACCCATGGAAATTCCAACAGATTGTTGGAAGGTTTGATCTCCAAAAACTACATAGATAATTCAAGCATCTTTTTATTATCAACTTCGGGGTACTTGTATGTATAATCAGAACGTTTTTAACAAAATAAATTTGCAAATGACCAATGACAAGATAAGTAAATTTATGAGTTCTGTTTTTGTTGAAAAGCAGCTATCTATCATATCAAAACGCCTAGGCTTTAATTTGTGGTGGGGGAATGATTCCGAATTTAAGAAAGAAAATCTCACAATTGTTGTACGTTCAATGACAACAGTTGAGAATTTGTATTTATTTGCAATTACCTTCTGGTCACGTGAAAATATTTTTTTCAAGACTCTTTACATAATTGTTTACGTTAAATTTGCTTTCTTTTCTCTCTCTTTTAGTTTGTAGTTTGCTTTTGCTGAGTTTTTTGTTTGCTTGTTTGTTTGTTTATTATTTAAGGAATAAATTTTAACTGATGCGTAAAAACTTCAATAAACTATAGATATAGATTTTCTTTTAAATAAAGTCTCTATATATTTTAAGACAATAGCAATTATCAAATAGATTCAATTTCATATATTATATACAGTCAAAAGACAGGAATGATGTTGAAAAGATAGAGCGAGTGTTTTTTCTTTCTTTCTTTCTTTCTTTCTTTCTTTCTTCTTCTTCTTCTTCTTTTTTTTTTTTTTTTTTTTTTTTTTTTTTTTTTTTTTTTGCTGACGGAGCAGCAGTTGATTCACTTCTAAGATTGACGCATGTAAACGTTGGTAACCTTCAGAACACTTAAACACTTTTTATGATTATGATATACAATATAACAACATACTAATATAAAAGTGATTAAGTCTGTGTAGTTATTTTACTTCTAAAGATATCTCTCAATCAACACTGTGCTCATTTCTAAACATAACTCAATTCCACCATGATAAAAACAAGTTGATAACAACGATGATAAGCTCACATAAGCTATCAGATTTTATTTGGGGATAAAAATATAGCAAATCATATTCATAAAACTAGAGAGGCTGACCTGAGTAGCTGGAAAATTTTCCAAAAGTTTGTCTCAACACACTCTATACATGTTAACTGATCTTGAAAAATATGCAGGAAAAGTTACTTTTCTTTTTCATTGTCTTGGTGGTGCTGGGGCTATGTCAATCTTCGATCAATCGGCGAATGTCGTCAGGACAGTTTCTGGAGCGAATATTGAATGGACGTGGGCGAACTGGACGGAATCCTTGTAAGTATATCACAATTAATTTCTACTTATTTTGTGAAATATGATCAATTGTATCTATATTTTTGGGCGAAAGAGGATGAAATGTAAAATGAAGAATGTATTTGTTATAGACAAGACACTCTTTTAAGAGCAATTATCTAGGTTAATTAGCATATGAAAACTTTTTCCCGTTCCATCAAGAGTGAATAAAATAAGACATTTCTGCTTATTGCAGCAACAGAAACTGATACTTTGAATGGAGATAGACCCATGATGGCCAGAGGAGCAGGCATGTTCAATGCTTTAAACGACAGACAGCAAGGAGTTCTTCCAAACAGAATTACTTCCAGACGCGGAGGAATGTACAATACCAACGGCAGACGACAGCGACCGTGTAAACGAAGATGGTGGAGGAGATGCTAAGAACTCACTCAAACAACACAAGAGGCCTTTCTGACATTTCTCTGTTTTTGAAGTCAGTAGATTTCCTATAATAAATCCTTTTTCTTGAACCTGGTTCATTACTAATGTTTATTTTTTATATGTACTTCCAGTTTATGTGGTGATACATACCGTGTTTAGGAGTCATTGTATTGCAAAAGAGGTGTACATAAAGATCCCATGTTCATTACCCCCATTTAATGTGCCAACTAACGAAATACCTCTGTGAAATGAAAAATAATTCATTTAATGATAAGTAAAAATAATGTGAAATGTAAATTATGTTTTATTTTTCATGACATTAAGTATGATGCAGCGAAATGCTAAATTTCCCTGACATATATAAAGACCCGTTCACACGCGCCTTTTACAAACGATAAGCATATTTTACTTAAACGCAAATTTTGCACCTGTGTGTATTTTAGCGCACGTGCACGAGGAGTAAGCAAGATTTGCAAGTGAGTATTTTTATTCCTAGTGTGCAAAATTTACATCTAGTCAGACTAGGTGCAGTATAAGTAAAACTCCTGGTGAATTTTTCAGTCATGTGAACGCGTAGGAAAATTTACACAAGAATAGAAATATTGAAATTGTCTAGAAAATATAGCATCATTTATTTCATTAAAAACTGCATCTTTTTTTATATTAGAAAGAACAGAGACAATCTGTTGTATTATTTAAGTCCAATTATTATTTCTAGTAGCAACTGAAGAGCAACTACAAAGCCCAAACAAGTGTTTTCAAACACTTTGAAAATACCAACTTCATACTGATTTACATATAGCTTGAGAGTGCATGTGAACGCAGATCGCAAAATTTGCATTTACACACCAAGAGTAAAATTTGCATACATCTAATTAAATGAGCGCATGTGAACGGGGCTTTCTAAGGCTTTTATTTTTCAGATAAATCATAGAAATAGTTTTGTTATAGTTAGTATCTATGTGTAAACATAAATGTAAATAAACAGGACTAAGCCATACTAGATGATAAAAATTTGGGTAAACAACCAGATAACCTTGTAAGATGGATATGTTATAGAAGTTATCTAGATATTGAAAGAGCTAAACCCGTGGTGATCCTGAACAAAAGTTTTACTTCATAGCAGTCGGCAGTTTCAATCCATGTTGACCAACACAATACGTATGTAGATATGCAGAGGAAACTACTTTGTTTTTTGTTGATATCCCTGTTATGTGGACTATGTCTCTCCACCAATCTGTGGACATCATCTGGGCATCACTTAAATCGAGTCGCTCTTCAAAATGCAGGAGAGAGAGTTTGTAAGTGTACCAACCATATTCTTTATTTGTATTTATACATATTTATTTTTGATTTTATACGTTATAGGCCAAAATATTTTGGGAAAAAAATCATGTAGAACGATAGATTCTTCAACGATTTCATAAACAGTATTTTCTTGTGTTTTTCTATGTTCAACTGTAGTAGTTCTGCAAAATGCTTTTAATCCTGAAATAAATCATATGTAGACTGCTTTCAGTGGCAGTGGGGTCGATGAGTCTGAGTGAAGGTGCTATCAAATACGAAACATCCATACTCGGAAGAATGAACAGTTTCAGCCGAAGACGAAGGAGAAGTGTCCGAATAACAACCAAATCCAGACGCGGAGGACTCCACAACACCAATGGCCGACGTCCACGACCGTGTAGACTCAGATGGTGGAGAAGATGTTAAAGCAGAGTTACACTTCAGTCTTAAATCCTCATCAGATGAATGATTTGTGCATCTTTTGTACAGTAAATCTATAGTCACGTTTGGAGGGTTCAATTTTTATATTTTGATATGAACACAGGATAGTATAAATATTTGTCGTAATTTTAATATATGAGTTTTCAAATTCCTTTAGGATTACTCTTTTAAAATGTTGATTCTATCTCTCTCTCACTCTCTCTCTCAAAAGCATTAATTAAAGAATAGTGTATTCATAAGCAGGAAAGCTCGTCAAGACACAGAAATTCTATAGATGATTTAAATTCGGTCGATATTGAAGCATTATTTGAAGAATAATAATAATATCCATGTCAACATACAAGTAAAAATTTAAGTGTTAATGCAGTTTTTACAAATATTGATAAAAAAACGTTCGTCAAAATAAGTGCAAATTTAATTGTGCACTAGTCGTAATATTGATTTCATAAGATACTGGCCCAATTGAAAGATGACTCCGGGTGATTTTCTTATGTTAAAAATTGAGACAGAAGATTAGAAATTTCTACAAAGTGTATTCCTCACGTTTCTGACTTGTATGGTCAAAATTCGCCTGCGGCCAATAAGGATGAGTATTTGAAATAGAATTCTAATTTTTTTTCTTCCGTGTTGGAAAACGAATCACATTCAGAATTCAAAGGCTTCGGGTGTACTTTCAAGGTAAAAAATGACCCGGGGATCATTTTCACAGAAAGTAAAACATCTACTATTTTATTTTAACTTTTTTGTTTCATTTGTAAGTGATTTGTAGCAAGTGAAAAAAGCGTTTGTTATGATGATATATTACAAACCGCTTAGAGAAAGTTCCTAGGGTCTTTCATTTTCCATCATTACGGTTTATCTAAATATATACAAGTGGCCTTAAGTAGATCAGGCGTCTTCATCTGAAATGAGGCACCATACTTAATCAAAGAATATTTAAATAGTGAACACAAATATCAAGGTATCTGGAAAATTGAAATCATCATCAAAAGTGAAAACAATGACGAATCATTATCTCAAGGAAAACGATTCTTTTCGAGGATTTCAAAAGTGAAACAATCAATTCAAAGGTTAAGAAAGAAAGGGGATTTAAGGAATGTTTGGTAACTTCTCCAAATTATTAGAGGTTAGCACTGATAAGCAAAGGAGGGGGGAGGGATAAAGACTCTGTCAAAAGCGTAAATTATTGCATAATGTGAAAATCAACACTACTAATTTTCTTAGTCATTTTATTTCATATTTCAAACACTTTTCGTACAGTTTAACTTTTTGGAAGTAAAGTTTTAGTAAATAGTATTCGAGTTACTGAAATGTAAGAGAGTAATGGTTATGAAACAGATAAATCTGCGCGTTCATGATATAAGACCTAGGTTATGTTACTGAATCAACGATATTTATAACCTGTAACAATAACATTATATAGTATATTTTAACAGTCATAGAAACATTTAAATTTTCAATTACGATATGACGAATTATGTTTCGTAAACCCTCTATAAGGAAGATGTTATTCAACAAACGTAATTATATATATTTTTAAATATATTACTTCTCTTTTGTGCTTATGTGTGTGTGAAAGAGAGAAGAGGAGGGCATTGTAATAACTGGGACAAAATTTTGCAAGCAAGCTAGCTGCTTTAATCGAAGGCGCTCGTAAGATAGAGATTTGAATAGGCACGTCTTGATTTTATCGATGTATATAAATCTTCCTCAATTTAGTGCCGAATATTCTTGTTTTTTAAGATTAAACTATATTGGTTTATGCACATCTTCTGCATTCAGACTACAAGAAATATTTTACTGGTGCACTTGGGTCTTCAGATAAATTGTCGATGCACCCTGCTGATTTTTGTAAAGAATCTGACAAGGCTGACTGTAAATGAAACAAATTTAAAATGTATTAATTGAGCCCAACGTTCCACATGAAATCACTAGAAAATAATTTTATGCGGTTATGTTTTTTTATGGTCTTTTTTTTTCTTTCTATCATAGTATGTGAAATACTTTTCAGTTTAAATTCTAGTAGCTTCATGATTCCTTTCATACAGAGAAACACTTTCTTGGTGTAGTAATTCGATTAAAACATATTCATCACTAGTAATAGCTCTAGTTGCTTTTAAAAACCAAAGTACATTTTTAGAATTGAACATATTTTATTGTAATAAATAAATACAATAGGATTGGGCAAAGTTCTTAAAAAAAAAAAACCCAACAACTTAGAACTAGCATTGCTAGAAATGATATGACACACTTTTCTTGTTTTCTACAATAGCCTGTTTTTTTGTTTTTTTTTTTGGTCATTTTGAAAGAATGGTATGTCGATATTTAATATGTTATTCATAAATAAAGATTTTTAACATTTGACCGATAATATATATGCAACCATGACGTAAAATCCCAGACTCAAGAAGTACAGTTCCGATTAGATATCTAAAATAAAAAGTCATTATCCTGATGTTGAAGAATTTATACTCTGTTCAGAAACATACAAAATTCTTATTCTTCTTAGTAAAGTGTGAAAATCACACAAATAAGTTATTGATTTCTCTCAGCTTACACTAAGAGGACGATTAAAAATTAGCTTAATATAAAAAACATTCAGTTTAATCAAAATGAAATTATCTGAACAGCACACGTGTTTCCTAAGCCACAGGTATTTAAGTGGATTTTAGAGTGCACTATTATTTATTAAGAAATGAAACGTTGGCTTCTATTAAGATTTTGGATTTGTGTTTTGGGTACTGTCCTCTCCTTCCTACCTAATTTTCTTTTAAAAATCTCAAAGAAGACTATAGATTTCATTTAGCAAAGTAAATTGTCGGACAGGACGGCATAGTGGCCAGAAGTTTTGCTAATGGTTAAGTACAAATGGCAGGACTCTTGATATATGTTTATATCTTATGAAGAAATGACTTGTTCACCCTCGTATAGATGTTTACAAGTAATTCCACTAAAATCTTAGCTCTGAAGGATTTTAGAATCAATGTTATTGTAAATGAATGTAATTTATAGAATGAAACTGTAAACTGCATCGTTTAAACTCCACCTGTGTCTGCAAATTATTTTGAAAATGTTTAAAAATATAACTTTTAAAGCAGATTGATAAAAACGAAAACTTTTCAGATAACACAAAATGTTAAGGATATTTTATAGCTTGCCGGTAAATTTCTGACCTTTTTTTTTTGTCACATAGACGTTGAGCAATAGACATTAAGTGTTGAAGCCGTAGAGACGGGTACATTTAGAACTGTGTGTGACAAACATGCCTCTACTTGTTGTAAAGCGAAGACTTGTCTATTCTATGATATAACTTAGCAATAACAAAAAATGCAAATGAACATTTTAAAAAGTTCATTTATTC